AAAGCGGCCCTCGAAGCTGTCAACTCCCAACTGAAAGCCTTTGTACAAGCTATTAAGGATCTGGTTGAAGATTCCAAAATTATATCCGGTAACGATCCAACCAATAAAGCAGTCAAAAGCCTTCTCAACGAGTTGAATACGATGCTTGATAAAGGAAGTCATTCGGTAGTGCCATATCAGCTTACCAAGGATCTCAAGCAAATCTGCAATGAAATTGCAACTGACGTAATCGGCGACGCCGAAGCCCCGTCATTGGTGACGCGGCGACTACTACCCTGGAACATATCATCACTGCCGCCACTGCATTCCGCAACACAACAATCAAAAGCGAGGTTGAGACATGTGTAAGACTAATTAACGAAAAAGTGACATCAGAAGTAAAATTGAAGATTGATGCCATAAAAAAAGACGCTCTGGACCGGTATGTTCATACCACCACCAAGCATTTGGAGGACTTGGATATCTTTATCAGAAAGCGTAATCAGAGTATGGATGAAATCATCCATCTGGATAAAACCAGAGGCATAAAGGGGTTCGCGCAGAAATTAAATACAATGTTTATCCCTATGATTGCATCATTTAAACCACGTGAGTCGAATACCAAATTCCAAGATTTTGCCAATCTATTGCTTAATCAATTTAGCGAGCTCATGCAAGAATTACATAAGCAACATGATTTTAAAATAATGCATTCCGTGGTTCAACCTTTATGGACGTCTCTTGGGACGTTGCTCTCCGGACTATATACGTCCAAACAATTCGATCATACGTTCCGCACAAATCTAAATTCGTTGAGGGAAATTGTTGGTAACATGTCACCTGATAAGCATTCCAGACCATCAAGTGTGCTGCTGAAAGTGTTGCAGAAGGGTTTAACGGCCATGTCCCAGCAGCTTGGTTATGGCTATGTGAGTGCGTACTCCGAAAGAACATGGATTGACAAAGAGCAAAGGAAGTACGCAAAAATAATCTTTACCATATTTCGCATACTTCACGTTTCACTAACTATGTTGAAGGTTAATTGCAAGAGTCTGAGTGGACAGCAACTTAACCAATCTACTGACCTCGGAAAAATTATAGCCGATGAGGGATTCAATGTATCCGACCAGGATGGACAGAATGGCGAGCTACGGAATAAGCAAGATTGCAAGGGTTCAGATATTATTAACTTACTTATCAGGAACGTCGACGGCGCAAACAACAACGAGCACCTTAAAACACTTAAGCCAAATGAAAGGAATAAATTCAGTCTCATGAGTATCATAGCGTGCCTCATGTCCCATCTTGACGAATATAATAAAGTTTGCCACCATTCTACAATCTCTGTCAAGAGGTCTCCGTGTTCTGTTTACGAACAGTTAGTCTGGCTGATTGGTCTCCCACACAATCAAGTGTTTGACAAATTTAGCGTGTACTGTAGGGAACTGTTCGATAAACCGAAGAAAGATGACAAGAGGGATTACTCAGAAATTCCGTCATCTGAATTGCAACTTGGTGCCTACCCATATACCATCAACTATGATGATTTGGTGCCGGCGATTAAACGTGTATGCCAGCACTCTCACCGTGTACTTACTACTATCCTCGGCCACGGCCACTCAGCGGGCATATATGCCTCTGACTTCTCGAACAATTCACTAAATTTTTATTATCCCAGTAGTATGTCTACGTTAGTATGCATGTTACTCGACGTCCTGAAGCGCATCTACTACCAGCTTTCTTTCATTTGTCGACAGTGTAAATATACCTCCAAACTTAGCGGGTGGCGTGACTGTTCATATGGGCGCGGCGTTGGTGGCTCCAATTGGCAGTGTAATACGTTGACGTATGCCAATCAAACGTGTGACCAACACTGCAAACAACTGGCCAACCAAAGTGCCAACCTATGTGCCAAGCAAATAGGCAACCAAAACACTAAGCAAAAGTGTGACCAACATCCCAACTGCGGACTAAAATCACCATTACAATCCTTCTTGGAAGATGGGTTGCAGGGCTTTTTGCCACATAAGGTATCAGTTAAAGGAACAAAGATGTCATGTTCCTCCTGTAGTCAGACACCGCCTGGCCAACCATGTAAAACGCCCATGGGCTTCCCTGAAATCGCTACCACTGCATCGCACACGAAAACAGGAATGGATATATACATGGTTCTGACCGATTTCTGCGGCACGGAATTGTCTCCCTTGACTAGACTGTGCAGTGTTTTCAGCTGCTTGCTCCCCAGCGCTCCTAAATCTCTGGGAGACATGTTTGCTTTCTACTTCAATTTCAATAATAGGTGGTATCTTCACGGCAGTGGAGTACGCGAGATGCACAGGGAAATTGCGTTCGAGACATCCGTCAAGAAGGCGTATTTTGGTTCACCATACCCAGAATTGAATGAATGCTCAGAGTTGTTTACACCGGATAAGCATTCCTCGAGCCATGCTGCCGGCTATTTAACTTGTCTATCTACCACCGAAGTTACATGTTACATTGGCAACAAAAATGTGGGTCGTATATGGAGTCCTTAAACTCCGATATTTGTAATATCTTCGCTTCCAAAAATGCCAACCTCTACCTGTCTTGGATGGTTTATCTAACCGAAACGTTTTACCATTTGCTTCGCAGAATAATGGAAAATTGCGAACGCAACTGTTGTTCGCCTGGGTCAAGATGCCGCATTATTGGTTGTCATAAGGAGTGCTTGGCCTTCGCCAACTCTCCCGATGATCCATCTTATAAACATTGGCCAGAATGTAATTCCATTCTATATTGCAGTATGACATTGCCAACATTATATGCATACGGTTTTACATTCGGCGACAGGAAGATGCTGACTGGTAGTGATGGAAAACATTATTGGTCAAAAAGATCATGCAGCGATTTCACGAAGCAATTGGCAATTATGCTGGGCAAAAGATCAGTATTGTCAAAACTGGTATATAAAACAATTCCAGAATTCTTATTCAAAATTCGTGAACCCTTCATCTGGACACTGGTAGCCCTCTGGTCGCTCTCGCTCCTGTACCTGCTGCACATCGTAGTCGTCCGGCTAGACGTCCTGAGGATACGCTCCCACCTGCGCTCGCCCTCAAGCCACCGCATCGCCGCGCAGTCCCTCCTCGCCGCCGCACGCGTCAAGGCACTCGCCAACGTCAAGTACTTCTCACCATAATCGTGCCTTCACCCACTCACTCACTCAACCAATCACCCACTCACCCACTCACTCACTCAACCACTCACCCAACCACTCACTCACTCACCCACCCACTCACACACTCACCCACTCACACACTCACACACTCAACCACCCACTCACCCACTCACTCAACCACTCACATACTCACCCACTCAACCACTCAACCACTCACCACTCACTCAACCACTCAACCACCCACCCACTCAACCACTCACCCACCCACCCACTCACATACTCACTCACCCACTCAACCACTCACCCACTCACCCAACCACTCACTCAACCACCCACTCAACCACATACTCACTCACTCACCCACTCACCCACTCAACCACTCACCCACCCACTCAACCACTCAACCACTCAACCACCCATTCACTCACCCACCCACTCACCTCCTCCTTCACTGGTCGCTGTCGCTCCCTGCCTCACCCCCTTCATCACCTCCTCCGTCGGCGTCCTTCACCCAAATCCTCATTTTCCACCTTCCCCCTCCACCTCCTTAATCGCCTTACCTTCACCCATCTTCCTCCTTCATCGCCCTCTCTCGCCCCTTCACCTCCCTCACCCTGTCCACCCACCTCCCTCACCCCGTCACTGCCTCCTTGACCTAAAATCGCCTTTCCCCAAACTCCCCCAAATCGCCCTAAAAATGTGCCTAAAATTATCCTTCATCAACATTATTAAATAACCTCTGCTCTGGCCTCGAAAAATTTCTCGGCTACGAGAAAGGGAATTACACCGGCTCCGGCATCGTGTACTCGGACCTTGACAGGCTGTGCGACGGGGTGATGTCTTTCCTTCATGGTGTTTTACATAGCATTAAGCCTAAATTAGGATTACATAGTAATGAAATTCAAAGTGCAATTACGTCTCTTAACGCCAATAAACACTCCGGCAAAGATGGTTTTAATGAAGCGATTAGCGCAGTGGTCCAGGGGGTGAAGGGGTATAATGAGGGTGTGAGGGAGTCCAACAAAAAGGTGAGTGGGCCAATTACTCTCATACTTTCGCAGGTGAATGAAGACTTTAAGAGTGAGGTAAGTGGAATATTAAGCAATGATGCTGTTGCAGGTGACGCCAAGCTAATTGGACAAGCTGAAGTATCGATTAAGCAGAAGTTGGGAGAATGCAAGGGTTTTGCTAGAACGTTTAATGACACACTAAATATCACTATAGAAGCAACTAAAAATGCAATTAATGACTTAGATCCTACATTAGCACATAGAGTCACGAACGCTATACGAAGCGTTAAGCATGAGATCGACAGGCTGAGGGCCTTGTCGGACAAGGAAAAAGAAGAGTTGACAGAGACGAAGGCTAAGCTTAGTGAAGCGATTAACGCGCTGAAAGCAGGCGCACGTGAAAAAATCGAAGCAAAAGTTAATGAGCTTGTAAAGGCTCTGAAAGATGCAGTTACTGAAATATTTAAAAAACTCGACGACATCAATGATAAGTTGGCACAGTATGTCATCGCGTTGAATGAGTGGGCACAGCAGGCCGGTAAGGACATCGACGCGGCGGAAGCAACGGCGAATGAGATTGTCAACAAGAATGTCGGCAAGCAGCAACAGGATGCGATTGCAGCAAAAGCGGAGCAGTTGAAGGGCTTGAAGAATATGTTTGATGAGTATATTAGAGAGGTGACGGAGAAGGCTGAAGATGTTAATTTGAAGGTTAAGGAGCTCTGCCAACAGTTTCCTAAGGACGCCCGCGGTGGAGTACCACAGGAACCAAACAAAAGTATTCATGACGTTTTCGAGCATATTCACGCTCAGGTTGCGCAAATTAAGGGAAGCCGGGGAGTTCACTTTATCTGGGTTTTGAGGGCATTAAAGACGCTGTTCAGGACTATGCGGAGGGATTTAAGAAATTTCAGGAGAATGTGTTGCCTAAGTGGGTGGAAGACATATTGGAGAGTAATGTTACAGTTAGACACTGGATTGGTTGGTGTGGACAGGCTATTGGTGCCAATTTTAAAGATCCTTATAGCGGTGAAGGCGAAAATGAAATCATGACACAGCTTACTAAAAAAATTGCGAGTGTAATTATCAGCAAACTTGATGGCGGCGTTATTGCGGGAATTCAAGCTATGGTTGGTGAAGAAGAGGATAACGCAAAGAAAATTGATGCATATGTTGAAAATGTCCATACTGCCTGCGCGGCGTTCGCCGATGAGCTTGATAAGAAACTTGCGCCAGAGGGAATCGACAAGCTTATTCAACCAGTAGGCACAGCGATGGCTACACAGTTGGGAGATCAATATTCGGATCAAACTGCCAAAGGATATCTCGACTGGGCCGTCCGTTATATGCTACACCAACTCCCCGGTGCGGCCAGAGGGGCGGCTGCCGAACTCCACTCGCTCCTCCTCGAGCGCAGGCCGGTGGCATCCGATAATGGCATCGCAAGAAAAATAGAAGAGGCTCATAAGAAGGCTGAGAGCCTTCACAGTCAGCTTCAGAAGGCGACTGGCGCACTCGCCAGCGACAAGTATTCTGACAACCTGGACAAGGCGATAAAATCAGTCACCGACAAATCCAAGGACCTGAACGCCAGCCATACTACGCCCCTCGAGACTCTGTCCAAAGACATCAAAGAACACCTTAATTCCTTACTCACGGAAATTTCGGGCGTGGCAAACTCTGTGAACGTGCAACTGATTAAGCTTCAAAATAAGCATCTAAAGGGAACGGAAAGTAATCAACTTGCCGGAATTACGAAAAAGATAAGTGATCTGCAGAAGGATTTGCAGAACGGTCCCATTAAAATGCTGAAACATTTTCTCGCACAGCACGCCGAAAGAAGGGCCCAAAACACAATTCGAACCCTTACCCAACAAGTCAACAATGAAATCCAACTGGCCGTTAATAAAATCACAGCGAACGTTCAAAAGCAGTACATAACTTCTATAAAAGGCCTGCTCATAGCTTTTGTTGACAAAGTAAATGACGAATTAGGCGGGTTACCTGGTATGATTAGTGCTGATTCAAAAAATGGTCACAAGGGTTTCATGAAAGCAATATACGGTGGTGATCCCCCGGATGTGCCAGGCACTTTAGATCCGAATAATTTACTCAGCAAGCTTAAGACAGCAATAGAAAATGCAGATAAATCTAAATTAGCCGACGCATGTCCCAAGGTGAGAGATTATCTGAAGTCAATAATTACATACATCTCAGGCGAATTCAATGAGCCGGACCATCTCCAGCATCGTGTTACGTACCTCCCCTACCAACTTGACGCGCTGCTCGACGTCCTTGCCGCGCATCACTTCGATCACCAGTTCCGCAAAAATCTCTCAGAACTCCAAAAATGTCTTGCCGAAATGCGTTTCACATCCCTTGCCGACGCATCCAACCCGCTCGCCGAGGCGCTCAAAAATGGCCTGGAAGCTTTTGGCTCTGAGCTAGGAAACGCGTACGTCAACAGATATTCAGGCCATACATGGGATCCTGGCTTCAGGGATAACTATGGCAAAATAGGGTTGAGTGTAATACCTATGCTGTACAGTGAGTTGACTACGTTGAAGGACCGATGCAATACGGATTGGTCTGCAAAACAAATTTGCGCGCCTAGCAGCCTCGGCAGTTATCTGAAGACTGTCGGCTATGACGTGGCAAGACGTTACTCCAGTCAAGACGGCGAGTTGCAAAATGAGAAGAAATGCACCGGTGCAGATATTATTGCCAATCTCGCCAAGGCGATTAACGGCAGCAACACTATCCCACACCTCACAACGTGTATAACAGACAAACAAAATAAGAAAAATGGTTATAATCTCATGGACTTCATCTCCTGTCTTAAATCCCATGTTTATGAATTTTACCAAGTCGGTCACTGTAAGCATATCGCGTCACCTAGGTCACCGTGTTCTGTCAACGAGATGCTCTGCTGGCTCTCCGGTCTCCCACATAATAAGGTTTATGGCAAGCTCAAAGATCACTGTAGAACACTGTTTAATAAGCCCAAGGGACAAGAGCACATAGAATATTCCGACATAGACCTAATATATCTGACACTAGATGCATCTCCAATTAACGTTACCGCGAAGGACGCGCATTCCGCAATTGACCATCTCTGTTCTAAATCCCAGACCCTACTCAACTCCATCCTCGGCACCGGTGATGCAGACTGCACATATGCGTGTGATGTTTCTAATAACTCACTAAATCTACAATACCCATCCTCCGGGGGAGCGTGTCTGCAGATGCTTCTTGACTTGCTTCGTCGAATGTTCTTACCCCTAAAATTCCTGTGTAGCCAATGCAGTCTCAGCGTGAAGTACAGCGGTTGGTCACAATGTCTCTACGGCAGAGATATCCTCACAACCAAATTCCCATGTAGTGATCACTCAACATGTGAATCAACATGCCAGGCAAATGGTAAACCAAAATGCCAACCAAACTGCCAGGCAAACACCAAACCTAAGTGTCAACCTAGATCACCACTAATGAGTTACCTAAATGACTGCCTACCTGGTCACTTGCCTCATAATGTCAGTTCCATTGGCTGTCAATACACATGTGCTACCTGTCCCACTGGTAAACCCGGAATGCCATGCTTAACACCTCTCGGCTTCCGCACATTTTCAGGAAGCACGAGGACGGGCAAGGAGCTATGTCGATTCATTGATATATTCCTTGGTGATGACTACATCCCAGCCCTTTTCTTGCTGGCACCCAAGCCGCCTGCCACATTGGCAGAGCACCTCGGATTTACATTGTGCTTAGTTAGAGGCTGGCATCCCACTAGCGGCAGTCCAGTGAAAACTGCAGTCGAGTCGTCCATTAAGAAGGTGTCTATTGAGTTATATAAAAATCCGCCCGAGTTAACTACCGCACTTCGTAAGGCGTATGGCGCCACTCAGAACACTCACGTATCGCCGCATCCGACATCTAAAAACACCGACCTGTCCAGCCTTTCCATGAAAAAGGTTTGTCCATTTTCTAGCATGAATGTCCACTGCGCTCCCTATCTCAATTCTTTATGCGATGACGCATATTATTACGTAGTTCACAAGAACTCTGACACATACCTGACATGGGCAATTTACTTGCCGTGGACATTCTGGCAATACCTTCAAAATCTATTTGATGAGTTCAAAAACGTAGTTTGTAAGGACTGGGGTTGTCGTGGATGCTTTCATAGCGAAGCTTGTAAACCCGGAAAGCACGGCGATGAAAGCAATCCATGTCAGTGTATATCTGTAGTCAGCTGCAGAGGCGTGTCTCCAATGCTATATAAATATGGTTTCACATTTGGTGACGCATCGGCGTTGCATAATAAAACTTCACCGAAAACCTGCATTGCATTCCACAATCAGTTGAAAAGCCTCCTTCATTCGCAGTATTTCATAGATTTATTCACCAAATGTGATGAGTTCCTGCGTGATATTAGGATGCCTTTTATGACCACATTGTTAGCCCTCTGGTCGCTGTCGCTCCTGTACCTGCTGCACATCGCCGTCGTCCGCCTCGACGTCCTGAGGATACGCTCCCACCTGCGATCACCCGCAAGCCACCGCATCGCCGCGCAGTCGCTCCTCGCCGCCGCACGCGTCAAGGCACTTGCCAACGTCAAGTACTTCTCACCATAATCGTGCCTTCACGTGTGATCTGTGTATCACCCACTCACATACTCAACTACTCACTCACATACTCACTCACTCACCTAATCACCCACTCACTCACTCACCCACTCACTCACTCACTCACTCACCCACCCACTCAACCACTCACCCACCCACTCACCCACCCACTCACCCACCCACTCACCCACTCACTCAACCACCCACTCACTCACTCACTCAACCACCCACTCAACCACTCACCCACCCACTCACCCACCCACTCAACCACCCACTCACCCACTCACTCAACCACCCACTCACTCAACCACATACTCACTCAACCACCCACCCACTCACCCACTCACCTAATCACCCACTCACCCACTCAACCACTCAACCACTCAACCACTCAACCACCCACTCACCCACTCACCTAATCACCCACTCACCCACTCAACCACTCAACCACTCAACCACTCAACCACCCACTCACCCACTCACTCAACCAACCACCCACCCACTCAACCACCCACTCAACCACTCACCCATTCACTCACTCAACCACTCAACCACCCACTCAACCACTCACTCACCTAACCACCCACCCACTCACCCACTCACCCACTCACTCACCCACTCAACCACTCACTAACCCACCCACTCACCTACTCAACCACCCACTCACCCACCCACTCAACCACCAACTCACCCACTCAACTACTCACCCACTCACCCACTCACCCACTCAACCACTCACTCAACCACTCAACCACCCACCCACTCACCCACCCACTCACTCACTCAACCACTCACTCACTCAACCACTCAACCACTCACTCAACCACTCACTCACTCAACCACTCAACCACCCACTCAACCACCCACCAACTCAACCACTCAACCACTCACTCAACCACCCACCAACTCAACCACTCAACCACTCACTCAACCACTCAACCACCCACCCACTCACCCACTCACCCACTCACTCAACCACCCACTCACCACCCACTCAACCACTCACCCACTCACCCACTCAACCACCCACTCACTCACCCACTCACCCACCCACTCACTCACTCAACCACTCACCAACTCAACCACTCACCTACTCAACCACCCACTCACCCACCCACTCAACCACCCACCCACTCACCCACCCACTCAACCACCCACCAACTCAACCACTCAACCACCCACTCAACCACCTAATCACCCACTCAACCACTCAACCACTCACCCACTCAACTACTCACCCACTCACCCACCCACTCACTCACTCACTCACTCACCTCCTTCACTGGTCGCTTCGCTCCCTCCTTCATCACCCCCTCCATCACCTCCTCCGTCGGCGTCCTTCACCCAAATCCTCATTTTCCACCTTCCCCCTCCACCTCCAAAACCGCCTTATCCCAACCCATCTTCCTCCCTCATCGCCCTCTTTCGCCCCTTCACCTCCCTCACCCTGTCCACCCACCTCCCTCACTGCCTCCTTGACCTAAAATCGCCTTTCTCCAAATTCCCCCAAATCGCCCTGAAAATTACCCTAATAATCCCCCTTTTACTCCTTTTAACTCCCCCCTATTCCACCTTTAATCCAAGTATGATAACCATTATAATGAAGTTCATTACCTTACAGAGGATGCTAGAAAAGGAGCCTTGGAGGATATCAAGGGGAGGCAGGAAAATCTTGATCAGCTTAAAAAAAGTCTTGAAATATTTACTGGGGAAAATAAATCTGATGAATGCATAAAGCTTTTAACAAATCTCACTGACGGTTTAGAAAAGTTCGTAGGGTACGACTCAACTTCCAAAGGCTACACTGGCAAGGGCATCGTGTACTCGGACCTCGACAGGCTGTGCGACGGGGTGATGGCGTTCTTGCATTCCGTTCTCAAAGATGTCCACGATAGACAGCCTTACAGTGTTGGTAAAATAACATTACAAAATGATGTTGTTAAGCATTTGAAAGATAAATTGTGTTCAGGTCATGAGGGTTTTAAGAGTGTCATTGACTTTGTGGCGCAGGGCGTCGGGGGGTATAATAGGGAGGTGAGGGAGGGGAATGGGAAGGTGAAGAAGCCGATAAATGAGTTTCTAAGGCACATAAACGACAGATTTAAAAACGAGGTTAGTATAATTTTGGAAAATAATTTTGTTCCAGGCACGAAGATGAGCTTCACGCCGGTGGAAGTCAAACAAGCCGAGGAGGCTGTGCAGTCAGTGAATAACAAATTGGAAGATAGTCTGCGCACTACTATGGTTTTTACAGAAGCAATGGATGCCGTTGTAGGCGACATTGCGCACTTAAATCACGAACTGAAACTTAATGTTAATAATGCCGTAATAGCAATGCAACGTGAATTAGATGTGTTACATTACTCGTGTCAGACGCAGAGCTTCGATTTGAAGGGTGTGATTAAAATGGTTGGTGAGCAGTTCAGTGAGTTGAATAACAAAGTTAATGCTGAAACGAAAACGAATGTGGAGAAGTTGGTGAATGATTTGAAGCAGAAAATTATGGCGTTCAGGCAGGAGATACAAAATGTCAAGCAGCCGTTGGAAGCATGGATTTTATCGGCTGAGGCGCAGCTTGCTGATTCCGAAACATACGTTGCACAGGGAGTGGAAACTTTCGAAAAAAACTATCCATTGATAAATAAGGCACTTGGTGAGATAAAAAATATTGCACAACCACTGAGCTTGCCGTTTAATTTGAAAACACCATTTGACAAGTCATCTCTTGAAATATTTAATGATTCCGTTAGGCAAAAAATAAAAATGTTTCCGAAGGCAGTAGAGGCAGATATAGACAACTTGAAGAGGCAGTTGACAAAGCTGATTAATGACTACGTTACCGGTTTGAGTGACGGTGAGGTGTATGCTGGTATGGTCTATGAGTTCGTAAATGACGTCTTGGACAACGCCATCAACACCCTTGTTCCAGAGGTAAAGAAACCAGCTGTCGGAGACAAATATAAACCTCTAAACATAAAAATTGAGAAATTTATGGAAAATCTGAAAAATGAGCAGAGCCAAATCGATGAAATGATCACTTCAGTAGAGAGAGACATTCTAAACCTGAGAACGCAATCTGCTAATACAAACGATCCCGACTCAAAACTCAATCCGTTTGTAGGCACCATGCAAGCTCAAATGAAAACACTTAAAATCAAACTTGACGATCTTATATTGTTGGTGGAGGCTGCAGATGATAAGTTGAATGCTTGGATTTCAACCGTCGATGCTTATATTGCAACAATTGACGGATTACGTGACACGTGCGTCAAGCAACTGGAGTCGTACGTAAATGCCTCTATATCTTACGCCCAAAGCATGATTACCACCTATATACGTAAACGTTACGTTCGTTCCATGAAACTGATGCTGGAGGCTTTCGCCACGAAAGCCATTGACGTATTGAGTCCTCTGCCTACCTTGGTCGAAAACGATAAACATATCGGCTTTAAAGGCTTCATGGAGACAATCGATATAAATTTTAATTCTAAATTTGAATCGCATACAACTAAGAAAAGCCTTTCGGATTTAGCGTCCGCCTTCACGAATTTCTACAGTGGCCTGAAAGCGTACATTCACGAAGAGATTAGGAGGGTGCATAAGAAGGAAAGGGAAAAGAAAAATCCGCTTCCTCCTGATGCCGAACCCTATTACGCTAATAAGCTTTTACAAGTTACGCTGTCACTTATTGATTTGCTTATGCATATTCACAGTAATAAACGGTACGACCATAAGTTGCCAGAAAAGCTCGATAAACTAGCCGCAGCAGTTGACGAGCTTAAACCAGATGGCTTCGAGAGAGTTACGACCCCCGTACTTGACAGTATAGTCAGTGGCGTCGGCATGTTGGAGAATGAACTAAGAAAAGTATACATATCCACTTACTCGTTGCAGAAGCAACAAGAAGCCGACGCGACAAAGTACGCCAAAATTCTTCTCACCGCATTACCTATAATGATGACACATTTGGGTGAACTGAAACAGAAGTGTGATACAGCGCCTCCGGATGGTTGGAAGTTCTGTCGTCTCTATTTATCATCCAAAGCCAGAAAAAATCCAATGGGGGATTTCCTTCACAGTTGCGGATACGTCGTCCCTAGCGATATAGATAAGCAAGACGGCGAATTGCAATGTCATCTCAAGATGGCCGGTAACGATATCGGCATGAAGCTTCTGCGCATGAACATTGTCAAGGCCGTTGATATTCCACATCTACCGGCTTGTGTGTCACATGTAAAAATGAAAACACACATTAATGTCATTGATATTATTGAATGTATGTTTACCCATCTCCAAGAATATTCACGTGTTTGCCACCTCACATATATTCCCACCCCGGCAGCGCCGACGAGCGTATACAAGATGCTCATATGGCTCAGTGGTTTCTGGTACAATCCGATGTACGAAAAGGTTACCATGTATGTTAGACAATTATTCGACAAGCCGAAAGAGGAGTCAAAATTGCAAGATCCCTCCAACTACAAACTCGACGCCACTCGGCCATTCAATGCCACGACCATTACAGATACACTTAGCGATGTATGTGAGCACGCGGAAAAGACACTCGTTGCTATACTAGGCTTCGGCCACGCGGACGGTGAATATGCCGTTGGGTTCACCGACAACTCACATAAATTAATGTATCCCAGTAGTCCCTCGCAGTGCTTAGATTTGCTCTTCGAGATACTGTGCAGAGTGTATCACCAGCTTAACTTTGTCTACGAGCAGTGTCGGCACGGTCAACTATATGGTGGGTGGAACAGCTGCTGGTATGGTCGCGGCGTTGCAGGATCAGCGTGGGACTGCAACAGTATGCAGTGTCCTAACCAACCGGCCAACCAAATTGCTGACCAAAACAGTAACCAAAACCATGACCAAATGTGTAACCAAAAGTGTGACCAAAACCCTAAGTGCGGACTAAAATCTCCACTGCAATCCTTCTTGGAGGACGGCCTCCCTGGCTTCTTGCCACACTCCTTTACCGCACCTAATTGTAAGATCACTTGTCAGATGCCCAAACATTTTGGACTGCCGTGCAAAACGCCAATGGGTTTTGCTGATATTGCCACAGCGGCGTCACATTGTAAAACTGGTGACCACATTATGAATGTGCTCAGCCAGTTCTGTGGCAAGGAACATTCTGTGCTTGGCCAGCTTTGTAGCTTCCTCCAATGTTTGTTACAGCGCACTCCACAAACACTCGATGAGATGTTTGCGTTTTATTACGGCTTGCTCAATGGGTGGGATGATAATGACAAGCAACGTCAGAAGCATAAGAGATATGCCTTTGACGATGCCGTCACCAAGGCGTATTTCAACGAACGTTATGACGGTCTGGACATTAGTCCAATGTTTAACAGTAACGATGGCTTGAAAAATATACACGCCAATGGAAACTTGTTGTGTCTCACTAGTTGCAACAACAACCCAGCGTCATTTCTCACTTGCGGCCCATATTTGCAACCGTTATGTCAGAATACATGGACAGTTTTTTCAGAGAAGCGTGCCGATAAATACCTGTCATGGATCGTTTATCTGACTGAAACGTTTTATGATTTGTTGAAAATGTTGTACGAAGAATGTTGTAGCAAGTGCGACAAAAGGGGCACGAAATGCTACGAAAAATGTAGTATTGCGGGTTGTCCAGTTAAATACCCTGACGCATCTAAGAAAGGCAGCGATGAATATAAGACAAAATTTCAAACGTATCAGACATCCCGTCACACTAAAGAGTGCACATCCATTGTTAAGTGCAAGCACACCAGGCCAACGTTATATAAATATGGATTTAATTTTGAGAACACATTGCAAGTCAGAGACCAATATAACATAGGCAGGAAACGCACGTGTAGAGACCTGTGCAACGCACTGGACAGAGTGCTGAGTATACAGAAAGCAGATGAGCCCGCTCTAGCAAAATTAATTTATGAGACAATTCCCAACTTCTTATGGAAAATCAGAGAGCCATTCTCACTGACACTTTTAGCCCTCTGGTCGCTGTCGCTCCTCTACCTGCTGCACATCGCCGTCGTCCGCCTCGACGTGCTGAGGATACGCTCCCACCTGAGATCACCCTCAAGCCACAGGATCGCCGCGCAGTCCCTCCTCGCCGCCGCACGCGTCAAGGCACTCGCCAACGTCAAGTACTTCTCACCATAATCGTGCCTTCACGTGTGATCTGTGTATCACTCACATAATCACTCACATACTCACCCACCCACTCACTCACTCAACCACTCAACCACCTACTCACTCAACCACTCAATCACTCACCCACCCACACACTCACTCAACCACTCAACCACCTACTCACTCAACCACCCAATCACTCAACCACTCACATAATCACCCACTCAACCACTCAACCACACAACCACTCAACCACCCACTCACTCAACCACTCAACCACCCACTCACTCACCCACTCACTCACCCACTCACTCACCCACTCACTCACCCACTTTACTCAACCACTTCAATTCACCACTCCTCTTCCACTGGTCGCTTCGCTCCCTCTCCATCACCCCCTCCCTCACCTCCTCCGTCGGCGTCCTTCACCCCAATCCTCGTTTTCCACTTCCTCCCTCCACCTCCAAGATCGCCTTACTTCAACCCATCTTCCTCCCTCATCGCCCTCTTTCGCCCCTTCACCTCCCTCACCCTGTCCACCCACCTCCCTCGCTGCCTCCTTGACCTAAAATCGCCTTTCCCCAAATTCCCCCAAATCGCCCTGAAAATGTGCCTAAAATAATCCACATAATTTACTTACTAACCTGTGCTCCGGCTTGGAGAAGTTCCTTGGTTACCAAGAAACTTCCAAAGGCTACGATGGCTCCGGCATCGTGTACTCCGACCTTGACAGGCTGTGCGACGGGGTGATGGCTTTCCTTCATGGTGTTCTCCAGACTGTAAAAAATGATAACGTCAAAACTTATGATAAAAATAATGTTCCTAATATTAATAATGTTCTTCGTGATTTACATAATAATATAGGTAAAGGCCGTCAGGCCTTCGAGAAGGCCGTGGCTAAGGTAAGTGGGTGGTTGGAAAAACATGGTGAGCAGGTGGAGGGGAAAATCAAGAGTGTTACGACGCCGATTACAAAGCTTTTAGAAGGCGGCGAGGAAGAGAATTTCAAGAACATTTCGAAGTTGATTGAAGACATTCAAGGGATGCAGAGTCAAGACTACGAGAGTGTTGTTAACAAGATTTCTCCAAATGAAGGTAAGTTACATAAGTGGCTTTCATCTGTTTCAGGTCTGCCGACGAAGACTCAAGAGGCACTTAAAGCACTTGGTAGCGTAGACAAACAGCTTTATAATTTGTTACATCCGCACGTTAGCTTACTGCATAATGGTGTTGAGACATTTCAGAAAAATGCTGTGTCAGACCATGAGGGTCTTACGTCGCTAACTGGAGATGTGAAAACATTCATTGAGGCACTTGAAAAAGACGTAAACAGAGTTGCAAAAGAGCAACAAGATAATTGCATTAGTGAGTTGCAGCAGGAATTTCTCGAGAAAATTCAGGGACCTATCAACCAGGTAAAAATTAATTTGGAAGGCGTCGAGGAGAAGTTGGAAGTGTGGATTACTGCTGTCACGCAAATTGTGAGTGAGGTGAAAAGGAGGGCTAGCGTAGTACATGATGCGTTGGATCCTGCGAAAATAAAAGGAGGTAAAAAAACGGAACTTGGCCAAAAAATTGCTAACATCGATGGGTCAAAAAACGCAATCTCGGCTGCAAATAATGACCTTGGGCAACGTGTTAAGGAATTAGAAAAGTGGATCGAGAGTGCGGAAAAGATGCGTAAGGCGGCGGAGGATAAGGCAAAACAAGTGCGTGAGAAATTGCATCCTGAGAGGAATGATGACCCTACAGACCATCCTATAGGTAAAGGAATAGGTGAAATTGAGGAGGCTCAGAGATCAGTTGCAAGAGTGAATGCTCAGCTGCAGACAAAAGTTGGGAACTTGAATACTTGGATGAGCACGGCCGGTGAAGTTATAGACAAGGCCAACGGTAAGTGTGATGAGATACTTGGGAAGGTGCAAAATGGCCATGAAAAAAACCCAAACGAAAATAATGGGAAGACAGAAATCACGAAGCAGGCTATAGAATTAAGAGACAAAGCCAACGAGCTCCGCAATGCTGCGGTTGCAGTTAAGAAGACTATTGAAGGTCAAGTGCAAGCGGCACAAAGAGCTCTTGGGGAATTAGATAAACGGGTGGAAAGTGACTTATTAGCATTGAAAACACAGCTTACTGCTGCTGTTCGAGATTACTTCGCGAAATTCGGAACGGTCAATTTTAAAAGTGGTAAGCCCGACACCGGTGGGACAGTGAAAGAAATCACAGGCCTGAAAGATACCATGTTACAAGTTTGGATTAAGGGTGCACTAACAGCTACGGGGAATGGTAGTCTGTGGGTACCTGGATATACTAAGAGTAACGCATTCTCATCTCTATTACATATCCTTGATGAATTTAAAAAGTCAATCGACGTTATCCCAAGTACCAGGGTTGAACAGAAATCGTTTTTCGATTCTGTATCTATTGACGCTCAAAATAAAGTTGAAGAAAAATACAAGAATCTCAGCAGTCCGCCACAAAAGAATACAAAACTGATGAACAACTATTTAAGTTCATCAAACGGTCAACCTGCGGTCAACTTAGCGATCGGCAATATTTCAAGTCAAGGCCTGAAGGATCTTGATAAACACATTGGTACGGGTGCTACAGACAAGGACAGGATTGAAGCAAATACCTTCGAAAAGCCGTTCCAATCAATTCAAAACCAGCTGGGGCAGATCATTACACTGGTTAACGAGAGCAACGGCGCCCGTGATTTCATGCAAGACACCCAAATTGACAGGAGGGGTGTTAAAACGCTATTGACAGACCTTCAAGCAGGACTTGGAAGTAACCCCAAGTGGAAGAAAACCACCACTGGTGCTCCACTCCCCGGCCTCCAAACAACAACGACCGCTATTAGCGAGCTGCAAAGCACCACGTTGGATGACCAGCCCGGCGCAATATCCGGCGGAATCGATAAAATAAGAGCCGAACTGAACAAGCTCAGAGACGGACTTCTGCAGATGTCCGGCACTGCACCAAAAGACAAGGGCGTGTTGGACAATTTAAAAGATCTGGGGACGAATATCGGATGGAATCAAAAACAGGGTCTTGAAAGCTTTAAACTTGATATTAGCACTCTGAACACAAAGTCGCTTCCCACCGAAATAGAAGCAATAAATTTAGCCGTTACCAAGATTAAGCAGGAGCTGAAAAGACTTCAAGACGTTTTGAAAAAAGAAAAAGGCAACAATGATGACGTCATCAACGCTCTAGCCGATTTGCTCGATAAGGGTATTGACGTTGATAAGGATGAAAATTGGAAAGGAACCACCAGCCTCCAGAGTATTAAGGACCGTATCACAGGCCTCATCGGTGGACCAGATAAAAAGAAAAACACCTTGGCTAAGATAATCCATGAGGCTCAAACATTCTACACCAGCACAATCCCAAATACGGTCAAGAATTGTGTAGAGAAGATCACTTCCAAACTGACGACACAAGTGGAAGAAAAAATTAAAATACTCCGAAACTCCGCTCTCTCCAATTTCGCCAAGTCCAAAGAGGCAGAGCTGGAAAACTTGAAAAGACTAGTTACTGAGAAGAACGAAGCTATCAGAAAACTAATCGATACAGATAGACGAAATGGCGTCAAGGGCTTAATAGAAAAATTGTGCGGCGGCGCACTTCAAAATACCGATGACAATTTGCTGCTCCGCCTTAAAAGCGCCGTGACTGCAGGAACGATTGTAACTCTGAGGGTTACGAAAACGCAGCATGAAGCTACACGTTTATCCGATACGTCTGAAGCATTCAACAATTATCTTACACCAATCTTTAAGTATGTTGAGGAGCAAGCAAAGACTGTGCTTCCTCCAGAGCGTCCGTTGATGCCTCCACCTAAAAAGGGGAATGCCCAATCAAGTCAAATCGCCGGACTGCAATCCACTATCGATTCACTGCTGCAATTTCTAAAGAACTCTAACCGTTTCGATTTTAGGTTCCAAAATAATCTTGACACCGTTAAGGATGCACTGTCCCGTTTGATTTCTCCAACATTCTCGGGATATCAGAATGCTATATTGCTTGACACTGTTAAAAACGGCGTAACATCCTTACTCGGTGAATTAGATAAGGTATATATGAATACTTATGATGGCGCATTGTCCGTTGACTGGACTCATGATATTGTAAATTCAGAGCGGTGCGCAAAGGTCTTGTTTAGTATTCTGAACATTTTTAATGAAGAATTGGAGATGTTGATAGAGGAATGTGGAAGCGTTTGGAGAGACAAAAAACTGTGCCAGAAGGATGGAGATAACATTAATCCGCTGGGCGCTTTCTTACATAACTCTGGCTACAAGGTCGCCAAAAATGGAACTTCGAAGGAGGGCGAGTTGAAATTACCTATAAACGATTTCACGGGTAAGAAGATCCATGACCATCTCAAGGCGCCCACATCTGATGGCTATACACTCCTAGGCACTCTCGAAACTCTTGTCACACACCTTAATGACTTTAATAAAGTCGGCCACGTTAAACACATCCCGTCACCTAAAACTCCATGCAGCATTTACGAAATGCTTGCGTGGTGCTGTGGTCTCCAGTTCAACAGTGTCTATGACAAGCTAGTAAAATATTGTGATGAATATGACACCAACGATACTGATAAGACGGCAGACACCGATTTCAAAAAACGTCTATCAGACACCGTTGATTATAGCTTAAGTGATCTGTGTACATATTCACGTAAAATCCTCACCACTATCGCCGGTCACGGCGACGATTACACGGCATACTCTTGCGAGCACTCAACCAACTCTCTTAATCTTAAATATCCTGCATCAGGCGAAGATTGTTTGCGTACATTGCTCGACATCCTTCGCAGGATGTTACCAACGCTGCGATATTTGAGAAGTCAATGCAAACGTGGTACTGAACATCACGGCTGGGCCAATTGCCAATACGGCAGAGATATCTCGCCGGTGAACCAGCCATGTAAAGCGCATCCTACCGATAAATCAAATGGTCAACCTAAGTGCCAGGCAAATTGTCAAGCAAATAGCCAACCAACGTGCCAACCAACTTCGCCTCTGATGTCTTATCTAAATGACTGTTTACCTGGTCACCTACCTCACCAGCTTATCAATGTGGGCTGCAAATCAGTTTGCAGTAATTGCCCTAAAGGCCAGCCTGGAACGCCCTGTCTCACGCCACTAGGGTTCAGGCGTTTCTCGGGAAGTACAAGGACAGGTAATGTGCTGTGCAACCTGCTAAACAAGTTCTTCAGCAGTGCCAACCTTTCACCGTTATTCTGCGTGGCCCCCAAGCCGCCATCCACGCTACCAGAGCACTTATCCTTTGCGTTGACGTTGGTTAATGGTTGGCGTAACATAGCCACGGACCCCTATGAACCACGCATTCGTGCATCCATAAAGAACACATCTATTCAGTTATACGCTGAACCAACCGTGCTTACCAATGCCATCATTAATGCGTATGGATCTGGGTCTGCTGAGCATACTGATTGCACGCATCCTCATCTTACGCACCTTACTACCATTGGTTTCTGCAACACCAAAGGTAACAGAATTGAGCGCGCCCCGTACCTTCAATCGCTATGCCGTGATGTATATCACGACCTCGTTAAGAAACATGCCAACCTATATTTGTCATGGGCTATCTATCTTCCGTGGACGTTCTGGGACTTACTTAATAATCTATACAATACCTTCTGCTCTATCGTTTGTGAAGACTACGGATGCCGTAGTTGTCTCCGCGGTGGCAAATGTAAACGCGGGCAACACGGGCTCGTTGTCAGCGAAGAAGGAAAACCTGATAAACCTCACTGCTTATGTTCCTCTCTAGTCCAATGTAAGGGGGTATCCCCAACACTGTACCAGTATGGACTAAGTTTCGGTGCAGTGTCTAGGTTAGATAACATTGCATCTCCAAAGAAATGCTCCGATTTCTGCAGTCAGCTGAGGAATGTCCTTGATTCAGAATATTTCAAGGAGCTATTCAAAGAGTGCGATGAATTCCTATGGATCATTCGCACACCCTTCTCCTACCTATTATTATCCCTCTGGTCGCTGTCGCTCCTGTACCTGCTGCACATCGCCGTCGTCCGCCTCGACGTCCTCAGGATACGCTCCCACCTGAGATCACCCTCAAGCCACCGCATCGCCGCGCAGTCCCTCCTCGCCGCCGCACGCGTCAAGGCACTCGCCAACGTCAAGTACTTCTCACCGTAATCTTGCCTTCACCCACTCACCCACCCACTCACTCACCCACCCACTCAACCACTTAACCACTCAACCACTCACCAACCCACTCAACCACCCACTCACCCACCTCCCTTCTTCACCGGTCGCTTCGCTCCCTGCCTCACCCCCTCCATCACCTCCTCCGTCGGCGTCCTTCACCCAAATCCTCATTTTCCACTTCCTCCCTCCACCCCTTAAATCCCCTCTCTCAACCCATCTTCCCCCTTCATCGCCCTCTTTCGCCCCTTCACTCCCCTCGCCCTGTCCACCCTCACCCCCTCACTGCCTCTTTGGCCTAAAATCGCCTTTCCCCAAACTCCGCCAAATCGCCCTGAAAATGTCACTAATTATCCCCCTTTACTTCTTTTAACTCCCCCCTAATCCACCCTTTATCCAACTACAATGACCATTACAATGACGTTCATTACCTTACTCAGGATGCCAGAGGAAGGGCCTTGAAGGACATTGATGCCCGCCGTATCTCCCTTGGTCAGCTTGCTGGACAGCTTTCGGGTTTTATTGGCGGTGGAGAGGAAGTAAAAAATGCATTGTTGAATGGTTTGTACAGTAATGTAAATGAGCTTGAAAAGCTTTTAAAAACGTCTTGCGGAGGTGAGGGGTGTGATGGTCATCGTAGTCAAATTGATGGTCTTAATGAGAAGCTTGATAAACTTAAAAATCACCTTAATGAGGAACCAAAAGCCTCTGAAAATCTTGCTGTAATCCTTTCAGACTGCGAGTTAAATGTCCATGATGGTCCCTTAAAAGAGCTTAATAAGGAAATTCCTAAAAAAATCCAGGAGCTTAAAATAAAAATTGAAGAGCTTAAACAGCTTGATAAAGATGCTGAAAAGGCTGGTGAAAAGCCTAAAAATGCCTCTCAAATTGACAAGCTTAATAAGGATCTTCAGTCTCATAATGCTTCCATGAAGTCTCTTGAGACACTGAATCAGCTTTGTGAAATTGCTAATTCACTTACTAAAACTCAACAAAATAATGAAAATCCTAAAAACCTTTTAGATAACCTCTGCACAGGCCTCGAAAAATTTCTCGGCTACAGTAATGGGAATTACACCGGAGAAGGAATCGTGTACTCGGACCTTGACAGGCTCTGCGACGGGGTGATGTCTTTCCTTCATGGTGTTTTAGATAACATTCAGCCTAAATTGGGACAGCATAAAACACAAATTGATAGCGCACTTAGCAAACTTAAAGACACAAATGATAATGGTATTACTAAATACAAGGCGGCGATAGCCGCGGTGGCCGAGGGGGTACGTGCATATAATGAGAGAGTGGCAGCGTCGAATGATGCTGTGAAAAGTGTTGTTACTACATTACATAACAATGTGAATACATCATTTGTAGAGAGTGTGAAACTCATACTGCCGCAGAAAGACATTGATACTGCAAGTGCCAAGGTAGTCCAGGCGGCGGAGGCCTTAATAGGCAAGAAGGTGGAGGAGTGCGAGCGATACGCTTCGGCGTTTAAGACTTCACTTGATAGCCAAACAAATAACATTGATAATCTTAATAGTAGTTTGAGTGCTAAAATACGTAGTGTAATTAGTAGTGTAGAACATGAGAAAGCGCGACTGCATGACGTGGCGGCGAAGGAGAAAGCCGTCTTAACGGCGACGACTGAGAAGGTCAAAACAGCGCTGGAAACGTTGAAATGTAGCGTTAACGATAAGATCACAGTAGACGTTGGGAAGCTTGTCAAAGAGGTGAAGGAGGCCTTAAAGCCTATTTTGAAGGAGCTGAAGAGCATCAGTCAGTCGCTGTCCGAGTGCATCAAAAGGTTTGGGAAATGGATGGAGGAGGCGGAGAGGATTCTTCAGAATGCGTTAGATAAAGTCAACGAGATACTGGCGGAGGCCAATGAAGGCAATTCAAGTAAGAATCCCAAGAAGATATATCAGGCCGTTGAGCACATTCAGACGCAGACCGTCGCGCTGTACGGACAATTGGACGGAGTGAAGGATAAGTACAATGAATTGTTTACGACTCTGAAGGGAAAGAACGGAGACGGACAAGGCGATGAGGGTGGTGTGATGGGAAAGCTTAAAGAGGCAGATCAGCAGGTTAAAGAGCCAAAGGAATTGGAGGAGTGGAAGAAGGACGGCGGTGACTGGGATGTTTCCAAAAAGATTGATCCGCTTTACAAGGAAGTTAATACTCAGCTGGGAAATGCTATTAATAAACTGTGGGCGGATTTGGATAAGGGGTTAGCAGAGGCTTATCGTGGTCTAGGGCAATTTAATTCCGACCTTCCTGGCCTTGAAGCTTTGAAAGGCACTGGGCTAGGGGCTATTAGAGACGTGGGAATATGGATTACGGCAGGCATCACAGACAAACAAAATATTGGCAATCATTTAGAAAATGTCTTGAAATATCTCAAGACGGCAGAGAACAATTGGAATAAAGTCAAACAGGACAGAGTACACCAAGAAATCGTCGAAGGCATCATCAACGACCTAGGCACTAGAACCATGAAAGGCGTCGAAAAGCAACTGGGAGAGCTCCTGAACGCTGCCGCCATTAGTGGTGGAGATAACCTTCAGAAGGTGGTTAATAAAATCGTCAGTCAACATCTCGAGCCTATTAAAAACGAGGCTCAAGGCTATGTGGACGGAGCCAACGAAGCGCAGAACGAGCTTATGCTTAAAGCCAACGAAATCACGCAGTGCCTCGGCAACCTGTGCTACAATATTAGGAACGCCGCTGAACTGGACCCTCATAGTGCGAAGAGAAAATTGGAAGAGCTGAGAGATACATATTTCAAGGAGCCCGGCAAAGATGATGCCAATAGTATCAAGAAAATATACACTGAGATTACTGATCTCCAACGCAGGCTGGAGGCCGATCCCATCCACAAACTCAAAATATTCCTCGAACAATACGCCGACAAAATGCTCGACCTGCACGTGAAATCGCTTCACAAGCAAGTCACCAACACAGTCGAAGACACCAAAGCGTTACTCACCACCCAGGCGAAAAAGGACTACGTGACCGCCATGCAGCTCCTCATCCAGCAGTTCGCCGAGAGAGTGAGCAGAGACTTGAATGGACTGCCGACACAAATTGCAGAGGATTTAACAATCGGTCATAAAGGCTTTATGGCAAAATTGCACGAGCAATTTATTACGAAGATTGAAGATATTGAAAAAATAAAGCCGGCGTTATTCGCCTCAGATAGCTCTCCCATGAGCCGAGCAGCGAATATCCTAAAACCGGCGTACACAGCCCTGTTCGAAAAGTTACAAAGTCAATCTGATTTCACTACTGACTTCGAGAAAATTGAATCGTCGAAGAATGCTCTGATCGAATTGCTTGGTAAGCTCGTCGAGTCGAAATACTTTGACAACAAATTCAGAGAAAATTTGAAAGCACTGAATGACAACGTGAACAAAATAAATCCCGCTGAGTACGGCGAGGGGAACAGTCCTTTTGTCCTCAACGCTCTCAAGGAGGGATTTCCGGCGTTAGTCAAGGAACTGCAGAAGGCCTACAGAAACGTCTACGAGGGAGCGGACAGAATCGACAGGTGGACTGAACGTCTGCCTGCTGACCAACCAGCCCAGTCAACTAGCGATGCTGTTGCAGTGCCAAAAGAGAAATTGACGACCGACGGAGAGCATGGAGCAAAGGTGTGTCTCACCGTGTTCCATATCCTAATCTCCACGCTGGAAAAACTCAAGCAGAGTAATGGCAGAGAAAATATCAACAAGTCGACAAAGCTCGGACAGTTCCTCGCCGAAATAGGATACGGTGTTTCCGATTCCGCGACTGAACAGAACGGCGAATTGGACAAGAGCGTAAGCGGTGGGAGAATTAGAGCTCTCCTAGCAGGTAAAATTGCTGGCGCCGAAGGCATTAAAATCTTGACGGACTGGAAGCAAGAAGAGATTAAGAAGCATCCTAAGGACGGACAGACGGCCGATAAAATTAACGTCGTCGACATCCTTGCGTTCCTCTACTCCCAAGTCCAGCAGTACTACGACGTATGCCACCGGAGACACATCCCCAACCCAGTTGCGCCGACGAATATATACCAGATGCTCAAGTGGCTTACCGGTCTCACTCACCATCCGGTCTACTCAGATCTGTCGCTCAACGGTTTTGAAGGGCTGTTTGAGAAGCCGGAGAAACAGGCGTCGGAAACCAAGGACGGCGATATGCTTCTAGACGAACCCGCCGTATCTCTTGATGCCTATCCAAATCCCATATCCCCTACGACACTGTACAATACCCTTGGAGAGGTTTGTGCGTACGCTGAAGAAACTCTAATTGCACTCCTAGGCTATGGCCTCTCTGCAGGCGTATATGCCTGCGATTTTAATACGAACCCAGATAATTTATCATATCCCGGCCATGCTGGTAAATGTTTAGACTTACTCGTAGAAATCGTAATGCGGCTGTTCCATCAACTTCGTTTCCTATATGAGCAGTGCACGTATCCCACAGACCTCGGCGGCTGGCGCAACTGCTGGTACGGTCAGGGTGTTGGTGGCTCTGGTTGGCAGTGTAATGAGAAGCAATGTGCCAACCAAGAGTGCAAGCTAAACGCTGACCAAAGAGCTACCCAAAAGGCCAACCTAACGTGTAACCAACACCCTAAGTGTGGCCTTAAATCCCCTTTACAATCCTTTCTGGAGGATGGTCTGCAAGGTTTCTTGCCGCACCATTTCTCGAAAAATAATTGCAAAATAACATGTGACGCTCCGAATCACAGGGGCGTCCCTTGCAAAACGCCATTCGGCTTGGTGGACCTTTCCACTGTTGCATCTCATACGAGCAGTGGCAGTAGACTTTACCGTGCACTTAAGGAACTCTGCGGCACTTCGGCTGCGCCTCTCACTAAACTGTGCTCCGACCTAATATGCGTGTTAGGTAGGCCACCTCAGACATTAGGTGATTTGTTTTCATTCTACCATAGTTTTATTACAACCTGGGGAGACAAGGGCAGAAAGCACAAAAAAGACGCCTTTGATGAATCCGTTCAAAAGGCTCACTTCGGTGTTCCATATTCGAAATTGGATGCCTATTCCATATTCAAAGGTAGCCACTCAGCAAAAACGGCGGGCCACACAGATGGTGATCTCCTCAGCCTTGTATGCAGCACACAGTCGCCAGGTAAATGTGGCCTATATTTGACTTCTCTAAGTAGCGATATCAGTGCCACGTTCTCTGCAAAACACGGTGACAAATACCTCTCATGGATCGTTTACAAGACAGAGACGTTTTATGACCTGCTTAAGAAGTTGTTTGATGAGTGCAACGGTAGTTGCGGCGGTGACAGGCCCAGATGCCGTATCGCTAAATGTCCAGAAAGCTGCAAGGTTGCCAAGCAGCCAAGTACATCCAGTCACAAAGACCCCTGCAACTCCCTTGTCAACTGCAATAGTACACTGCCGACATTGTGCAAATATGGCTTCACAATTAACAGCCCATCCAAACTGTGCGGTAAGGATGACCAAGCACTCAAACGTACGTGCAACGATTTGTGCACAATATTGGAAAAGGTTGTCAAGGTGGGCAATGCGCTACATACATTGGCATTTGTCACCATACCGGAATATTTATTCCTGATACGCGCACCTTTCATATGGACTCTCGTAGCCCTCTGGTCCCTCTCTCTGCTCTACCTGCTGCACATCGCCGTCGTCCGCCTCGACGTCCTGAGGATACGCTCCCACTTAAAATCACTTTCAAGCCACCGTGTCGCCGCCCAGTCGCTCCTCGCCGCCGCACGCGTCAAGGCACTCGCCAACGTCAAGTACTTCTCACCATAATCGTGCCTTCACTCACTCACTCACTCACCCACTCACCCACTCACTCAATTACTCACATACTCACTCACATACTCACACACTCAACCACCCACTCAACCACTCAACCACTCAACCACTCAACCACCCACCCACCCACTCACTCACTCAACCACCCACTCAACCACCCACTCAACCACTCACCCACTCACTCAACCACTCAACCACCTACTCACTCACCCACATACTCACTCACCCACTCAACCACTCACCCCCTCAACCACCCACTCACTCAACCACCCACTCAACCACTCAACCACCCAACCACTCAACCACTCAACCACCCACTCACCCACCCACCCACTCAACCACTCAACCACCCACTCAACCACTCACCCACCCACCCACTCACTCAACCACCCACTCACTCACCCAACCACCCACTCAACCACACACTCAACCACACACCCACTCACTCACCCACTCAACCACTCACTCACTCACCCACTCAACCACACACTCAACCACTCACCCACTCACCCACTCAACTACTCACCCGCTCACTCACCCAACCACATACTCACCCACCCACTCACTCAACCACTCACCTACTCACTCAACCACTCAACCACTCACTCACTCATCAACTCACCAACTCACTCACTCAACTACTCACTCACCTAATCACTCACTCACCCACCCACTCACCCACTCACTCAACCACTCACACACCCACTCACTCAACCACCCACTCAACCACTCACTCACTCACCCACCCACTCACCCACTCAACCACTCAACCACTCAACCACTCAACCACCCACTCAACCACTCAACCACTCAACCACTCAACCACCCACTCAACCACTCAACCACCCACCCACTCACCCACTCACCTAATCACCCACTCAACCACTCACCCACCCACTCAACCACCCACTCAACCACTCAACCACTCACCCCCTCAACCACCCACTCACTCAACCACCCACTCAACCACTCAACCACCCAACCACTCAACCACTCAACCACCCACTCACCCACCCACCCACTCAACCACTCAACCACTCACTCACTCACCCACCCACCCACCTACTCACCCACTCACATACTCACTCACTCACTCAACCACTCAACCACTCACTCAACCACTCAACCACTCAACCACTCAACCACTCAACCACTCAACCACTCACTCAACCACCCACCCACTCAACCACTCACCCACTCACCCACCCACCCACTCAACCACTCAACCACCCACTCACTCAACCACTCACCCACCCACTCAACCACCCACTCACCAACTCACTCACCCACTCAACCACTCAACCACTCAACCACCCACTCAACCACACAACCACCCACTCACCCACCCACCCACTCAACCACTCACATACTCACTCACTCACCTAATCACTCAACCACTCAACCACCCACCCACTCACCCACTCAACCACTCACCCACCCACTCACCCACTCACCCACTCAACTACTCACCCGCTCACTCACCCAACCACATACTCACCCACCCACTCACTCAACCACTCACCTACTCACTCAACCACTCAACCACTCACTCACTCATCAACTCACCAACTCACTCACTCAACTACTCACTCACCTAATCACTCACTCACCCACCCACTCACCCACTCACTCAACCACTCACACACCCACTCACTCAACCACCCACCCACTCAACCACTCACCCACTCACCCACCCACCCACTCAACCACTCAACCACCCACTCACTCAACCACTCACCCACCCACTCAACCACCCACTCAACCACTCAACCACTCAACCACTCAACCACTCAACCACTCACTCACTCACCCACCCACCCACCTACTCACCCACTCACATACTCACTCACTCACTCAACCACTCAACCACTCACTCAACCACTCAACCACTCAACCACTCAACCACTCAACCACTCAACCACTCAACCACTCAACCACTCACTCACTCACTCACCCACTCAACCACTTACCCACTCACCCACTCACTCACATACTCACCCACCCACCCACTCACCCACTCACCCACTCACCCACCCACTCAACCACTTACCCACTCACTCACTCACCTAACTCACTCACCCACCCACTCACCCACTCACCCACTCACCCACCCACTCACACCCACTCACCCACCCTCTCACCCACTCAACCACTCACTCAACCACCTACCCACTCACTCACCCACTCACTCAACCACCTAACCACTCAACCACTCACCTAACCACCCACTCAACCACTCACCCACCTAATCACTCACTCAACCACTCACTCAACCACCTACCCACTCACTCACCCACTCACTCAACCACCTAACCACTCAACCACTCACCTAACCACCCACTCAACCACCCACTCAACCACCCACCCACTCAACCACTCACTCACTCACCCACCCACTCACCCACTCAACACTCAACCACCCACTCACACCCACTCACCCACCCACCACCCCCACTACTCACCACTCACATACTCACTCACCCACCCACTCACCCACTCACCCACTCACCCACCCACTCAACCACTTACCCACTCACTCACTCACCTAACTCACTCACCCACCCACTCACCCACTCACCCACTCACTCACCCACTCACCCACTCACCCACCCACTCACCCACCCACTCACCCACCCTCTCACCCACTCAACCACTCACTCAACCACCTACCCACTCACTCACCCACTCACTCAACCACCTAACCACTCAACCACTCACCTAACCACCCACTCAACCACCCACTCAACCACCCACTCACCCACTCACCCACTCAACCACTCACCCACCTAATCACTCACTCACTCACCCACTCAACCACTCACTCACTCACCCACTCAACCACCCACTCACCCACCCACCCACTCAACCACCCACTCACTCACCCAACCACTCACTCAACCACCAACTCACTCACCCACTCAACCACCCACCCACTCACTCACTCATCCACCCACTCTCCTCCCTCTTTCACTGGTCGCTTCGCTCCCTGCCCTTCACCCCTCCATCACCTCCTCCGTCGGCGTCCTTCACCCAAATCCTCATTTTCCACATTTTCCCTCCACCTCCAAAACCGCCTTACCTCAACCCATCTTCCTCCCTCATCGCCTTCTTTCGCCCCTTCCTTCCCTCACCTTGTCCACCCACCTCCCTCGCTGCCTTACTGCCTCCTTGACCTAAAATCGCCTTTCCCCAAATTCCCCCAAATCGCCCTAAAATGTGCCTAAAATAATCCTTCAACAACATTATTAAATAACCTCTGCACATGCCTCGAAAAATTTCTCGGCTTCAGTAACGGGAGTTACACCGGAGAGGGAATTGTGTACTCGGACCTTGACAGGCTCTGCGACGGGGTGATGGCGTTTTTGCACGGGGTCTTGGAGAGTGTTAAAAGTAATGATGTTGTTGTAACTTATGATAAAGATTCTTCAAAGGATAATTTAGAAAAGGTTCTTGAGAAGCTTAAAGATTCCATAGGTCAGGGATCTGGTGCTGTGGTTAAGCAGGTTGCTGCGGTGAGTGGGTGGCTTAGAAAATATTTAGAAGCGCTAAATGCTAAAACTACTGCAGTTAGTACGCGATTAACAAGCTTGAAAGATATTACTATAACTCCCCAAATTGGTCAAATTAATAAAGATTCCCCCCTTCCGGACCAGTTAATCGCCTGGACCCAGGCGGTGACGGAGATTGATACAGCGGTAAAAAGCATTGAAAGAGAGCAAGTTGGCGCCTTGGATCCCAAGCTGAAAGAGAAGCTAGAGAACGAAATAAAGCCAATAAAAAGCGTTGTGGAGCACTTGAAAAATGTTGGTGAAGATTGGACCTTTACGGGACAGGTCACTGAAGTTGACAGGCAGTTGAAGGAGCAGAGAGAAAGAGTTGTGAGGGAAATTGATCAGAAATCTGGAGAACTTAGATTGAGTATGCAGACAAAATTGGCGGATATAAATGACAAAATAGATTTCATTGAAACTGAACGAACTCATAAGTTGCAACCTTTGAAGTTCTCTGTAGAGCAGCTGGTGGAGGCTGTCCAGCAGGCTGACACAGCGGCGCAGAGGTTGCAGAATGAGTATGTCGAACATATTGTAGATCAATTGGAGAAGGCGAATAAACAAGTTCAGGACCTTAATACGACTCAAGTTGCTCGTGGACTCCAAGATGTTTTCACAAACGTCACTGAGCAGTTGGAGAAACTTGCTTCAGGGTTGACACATCTTCAGAATCTTCATGTAAACGTTGAAAAACAGGTGGACGAGAAGTTGGCAATTATTTCAGACCAGTTGGGAGAGCAGATTAAGTCTCTTAAGGAGGGTGCGAAAAAAAGAGTAATGGGTTACGTTATGAAGCAGTTGCCTGGCAAAATCAAGGATGTGTTTGCGCTTCTTACTGTGCCTATTCATAATAGTAAGGGCAAGGATGGCGTCCTCGATCAGGTTGTTACCGGTGTCGGGAAATATGCTATTAAGTTTCGAAGTTTTGAGAGTATATTACAGGAATGGATTAAGAGGATTTACAAGGACAATAAACAAGTTAAGGGTTGGCTTGAGACGTATGTTAACAAATGTATTGACTATTTTGATCCAGGCCGAATTAATGGTGGCAATGCGGAAGAAAGAATTCGGCAACTTACCCCAATAATTGCGCAGCAAATCAAAAGCCCTGTAAAAACCACAGTAAATGCCAGAAATGAGGTTGTCCAAGATTTGAATGAGATTCAGACTTATCTGAACGCAGTTGCTGAAGCTACTCTGCCGAGCAATGTCACCAGCGTAGTTGCGACAATTGAAGCATATGTTGTAGATGATAGGCAGCTAGGTGACTATGGTAGACATTCTTCTGATGATAAAGATTGTCTCAAGCGTGCCCTTGAAATTATTCTTACTGCCATCTCTTCCACCGCCAGACATGTTGGCGAGCAAATGAAAAAGCTGGCTTCTGACGGCAACTTCACGAACTTGGCCGCGGCAATGACCAAGCTCGAAGGACTTGCCGAAAGGCTGGAAAGAGAACTTACTCCCGACCCCTTTACACCAGGTAAGCTTGCCTCCCTGATCCAACATGACCTTGGCACCGAGGCCACCACAAAACAAAATGAAATCGACGAGCTGCTGAAGAAGGCGGTCTGTCAGGGTATTGGATTGTTAAATAGTGACGTTAAGAAATTCGTCAACTCACAGATCGGTGATATTGATGGTAATATACGACGGCAAATTAATAAGCTAAACAATACAGGAAACCAGGCTGGCGTTATTCAAGCGCAGATTGCGCAGCTGCAGAAACAGATTATATCTGTGCAAGAAGCTGTTACCTCATTAAAGAAAAAGGCGGAAGGAACCATAAAAAAACAGGTCAGCGATTTAAAAGATGAAGTTGCGGGGCTCAGAAAGAGCATTGAGGAAATCAACAAAAATATAAAAGCCTTCAATGAGGAGCTAGAAAAGGCCATCGCAGCCTCTAAAGTAGCCGTTCAACAAGCTCGCGAGACCCTCAGCCAAGAAATATCATCTGTCAAGGATAAACTCACCAAAACTGCGCAAGACGCCTTCGAAGCCGTCAAAAACGCAGTGCAGTCCATGTTCTGCGAGCAGCATAAGGCGGACTTAAAGGCGTTACATGATTTAGTAAACGAGCAAAACGCTGCGATCTCAGAGGTAATTAAGAAGGATAAGGAGAGCGGCCTGAAAGGCCTGTTGGCAGAGATGTACAAGGACACTGGAAGCAAAATCAATGATCTCAATCAAGATAACTTCACAACTTTGTCCACCAATTTTAATACATATTCCACATCAATTCTCGACTACATCGCCAATCAAGTTGGGCGCAACTCACATCAGACATCCGTCACTGAGGAGAAAAAAGTGAAAGGCATACATGCAGCACTATTAAAATTGCTTGAGTATCTTGAAAATAAGGAGGAGAGAAGATTCTATTTCGACAACACGTCTCAAACGCATTTAGATGCACTTAACGCTCTGGTCACCGGCCTGGCGCCTACTCTATTCGCCGGCTACAGCCACCCGGAACTATTGGACGCGTTGAAGTTAGGGCTCAACGGTCTGACTGGGCAACTGGAGAAGGCGTACGTGAGTAGGTATTCGATGCAGCAGTGGGAAGACAAAGAAAAGGACAATTATGCCAGCATCATGGCGACAATAACAGAGATTTTGTTTACGGCTCTTACTAAATTGAGAGACGGATTTCTTTACGATGGGTGGGCGCCGCACAAGACGAATTTACAAACAAAGAATCCGCTTGCAGAGTTCTTGAGTGCAGCCGGCTTCACCGTTTCCAAGTCTGCCACTGAGCAAAATGGTGACGTGAAGAACAATATAGACAGTAAGAATTTTTTGATAATCCTAACTAAAGGGGAAAAGCTGTTTAAATCGCCAAGCCGATTGTATGGTTGCCCATCCATCGAATTATATGATTACCTGAAACTCTATCTCCGTGTTCGTCACCTAACTGTTCCGTCAGCAACCACATACCCCTGCTCTGTAAGAGACATGTTGTCGTGGCTCACCGGTCTTCCACATACCACCGTCTTCACTCAAGTTAAAAAGTACTGCACGGATACGCTCAATGAGAAAATCGACGGGACAGATAGAATGCCGAACAGGGAGGATCCCGTAATTTGTTCAATTCTTGATAAACAATTATTTGACAACTTGTCCGCTACTTGCCGAATTTCTTACGACGTACTCGCAACCATCCAAGGCCACGGCCGCGGCTTCGGCCAAGCCGCCTATCCTTATGCGTGTAATTTCATGGACAACTCGCGTGCTTTCCACTACCCTGAAAGCGTTCCAAGTCTATTCGATATGCTAACCGAAATATGTGGTCGTGTATTATGCGCACTATATTACACATACAGCCGGTGCCGTACACCCTCTACATATCTCGGATGGCGTTCTTGTCACTACGGTGGACACATTGGCGGCTACCGATCGGATTGCGTTAAGCCTAGCAGCGACTCAAATTGCCAACCCAAATCGCCACTTCAGGCTCACCTAATGGACGGCATGGCTGGCTTCCTGCCGCATAAGGTAGCGTCCGAGGGAACCAAGCTTTCATGTGCCACTTGCAAGTACAACCAGCCAGGTCAGCAATGCCTTACACCTATGGGATTCTGGGATCTACCTAGCACAGCATACGAGACTAGGCAAGGAATTCATCTGATGGCAGCACTTACCGAATTATGTAAAAACGCCAATTCGCCCCTGCCTTCACTGCTTCGTTGTCTATGGGCCCTCTGTCCCACGGCACCGAAAACACTGGCCGACTTATTTTCGTTATATTGCAATGTTATGCAAAATCACTATGCCTCCAAGTACCGGCATGACGCTGAATACAAGAAGCGGATCAACGGCGCCATCGAGAAATGCTTCCCATTTGAGACATCGGTGCATAACAATTACCAAGCTGACAATCTCACCGATAAGCTGAGAGATCTGTATTGCTCAGAGGGAGATCACAAAAGTGATCAAAAGGATGACAAACATTGCGACCTTTGGAGCATCAGCAGACCTGAGTATAAGGATTCCCAAGCTACATGCTCGGTTCTGAATTCCAACTGCGGTCCCTACCTCCAGCCACTTGGCCTCCACTCCAATCACACGTATGCACCCAAAAACGCAGCATTGTATTTGTCATGGTTTGCATACCTAACAGAAACATTTTGGGAACAACTTGAGAAGTTGCTAGATTCATTCCAGAAAATGTCGTGCAAAAATTATGGATGCTCGTCTTGCAACTGTGTCGCCGGCAAGCACGGCGTTAGTGAGGAGGAGAAATCCAACAAGGGCTGCCATTGTCCTACCATCGTAAATTGCCAAGGCGTTATGTCGACGTTTTACGGTTACGGATTCACGTTCCGTGTAGCTAAAGAGCTTATAAATAGCACACCTAAGAGGACCTGCGATATATTTGTCAAACAGCTGTGCACAGTGGTGAAATCAAAATACTTCAGAGACCTGTTTACAGAAATCGACGATTTTATGTGGGCCATCCGCATTCCATTTTTTTCAGCATTGACCGCCCTCTGGTCGCTCTCGCTCCTCTACCTGCTGCACATCACGATCGTCCGCCTCGACGTCCTGAGGATCCGCTCCCACTTAAAATCACCCTCAAGCCACCGCATCGCCGCGCAGTCGCTCCTCGCCGCCGCACGCGTCAAGGCACTCGCCAACGTCAAGTACTTCTCACCGTAATCGTGCCTTCACGTGTGATCTGTGTATCACCCACTAAACCACTCAACCACCCACACACTCAACCACCCACTCACTCAACCACTCACCCAACCACTCACCAACTCAACCACCCACTCACCCACTCACTCACCCACTCAACTACTCAACCACTCAACCACCCACTCACCCACTCAACCACCACTCAACCACCACTCAACCACTCACCAACTCACCTCCCTCCTTCACTGGTCGCTTCGCTCCCTCCTCCCTCTCCTCCCTCACCTCCTCCGTCGGCGTCCTTCACCCAAATCCTCATTTTCCACCTTCCCCCTCCACCTCCCATATCCCCTTACCTCCACCCATCTTCCTCCTTCATCGCCCTCTTTCGCCCCTTCACCTCCCTCACTGCCTCCCTGACCTAAATTCGCCTTTCTCCAAAATCCCCCAAATCATCCAAAAATGTGCCATTTCACCTTCTTTTTACTTCTTTTAATTGCCTATCAATCCCCTAAAAATGCCTCTCAAATTGACAAGCTTAATAAGGATCTTCAGTCTCATAATGCTTCCAAGGAGTCTCTTGAGACACTGAAAGAGCTTTGTGGATATGCTGGGAAAATTCAAAAAAATTCCTTTGACGATCAAAGTTGTAAAAACCTTTTAGATAACCTCTGCACAGGCCTCGAAAAATTTCTCGGCTACCAGGATGGTAATTACACCGGTGAAGGCATCGTGTACTCCGACCTTGACAGGCTCTGCGACGGGGTGATGGCATTCTTGTACGGCGTGTTGGAGGCAGTTAAGGCGGATGATGCTGTTAAGACGTACGATAATGATCTTAGTGGAAGTAAATTGAATGATGTTCTCAAGGAACTTGAATCATCCATAGGTACGGGGTCTGTGAAATTTGGTCCGCAGGTCACTGCGGTGAGTGCGTGGCTTGGGAGGTATGAGAGGAGTGTGGAGGGGAAGATTAAGGTATTGAAAAACCCCATCAAAAATTTGATAAAGGATATTAGCGAAGTAAAAGATGAAATAGCGAAGCAAAAATATTTTGAAATTTCTGAGCAAATCGCGTTGTGGAAGGAGCGTGCTGGGCAGTACGTTGCCAAGGTGGGAAGATCGGAAAGTGCTTTAAATGATGTCGATAAAAACCTCAAAATGATCTTGTCGCCTAAAATAGATTTGTTGAAACAGGCTACAGAGAGATTTGAGATGAATGCTCGAAATGATGATCTAAACATAATGCTTACTTTCGCCAGTGACATGATGTATGTAGTTACGCAGTTTGTTAATACGCGAACGAAAAAACATTCTGCAGACCTTCAAATGTATCTGACAGATCAGATTGGAAAATTACATACAAAAATTGGAATGTTCAAATCTGTACAATTTAGCCAGTTGATAAAGTCCGTCAACGGGCTCCATGAGGCTTTGTACATCGTGAAAGCTGGCATAGCGAGCCTTGAAACGAAGTATGGAAAAGAGATTCTTGGCGGAGTCCAAGAGATCAAAACCAAGGTTTCCGATCTGAAGGACTTGGTTAATAGAGAGAAGGCGACCCTTCAGCAGCAGGTTAGTGATTTGGGGTTCCAGATGGATAAACTTAAAGAGCTTAACACAGGTGTTATAGAAAATATGCCGGAAGAATTGGATGGATTCACGAAGGACGAATGGAGCGTTAATGATCAGATTGCACCGCTTTATAGTGAGATTACAAGTAACGTTCAAGGGTATGTTGGAGAATTGGCAGATGGTTTGAAAGCAGCGGTAACGGCGGCTGTAGTTTCTATTGGGCAGACTCCCGGTCTTATTGTGTTGAAAAGCACGCCATTGGGGGAGATACAGCAGGTGGGAGCGTGGATTGGCCAAGCCGTCGGACCCGAAGCCGATCCCATTCTTGGTGCAGACCTAGAACGGTTCTTAAGCAATCTCAAAGACGCCGAGAGTAATTGGAAAACTCTATCCCCTTCATCCACAAAAATATATGGCATAATGCGCGAAGCCATTAAAAAAGCGATCAGTGACAAGGCCACCGACGGCCAATTCAAGACTAAACTCTTCAACCTAGTCACAGCTGCCGTTGTTAAAGGTATCGCTGAACTTCAGGAGGCGGTTACGCAAGTCGTTACGGAAAATCTCAATAAAATTAAAGAAGACCTTGAAGCACTCAAAAACAAAGATGATCAAGGCAAGTCGCCGCTTAAAGCTGACGCAGCGGCGTTACTATCCCGGATCGAACAATTTTTGAATGAAAATGTTGGAGAGAATGGGGATAAGGCGGGCACTTTTCACAAGGATTTGAAACATTTTAAACAAGAGATTGACAAGCTTGAAAGAAAAGTTGGGGATGTTGTAAGTAACGTAGACGCCGTTGGAACGGAGTTGCAAGGCTGCATTAGCCAGGCGGAAAAACTGCTCCATGATTCGCCTACAAAAGCTAAAACAATCATACATCAATTGCTTGAAGAAGTCAACAGCAAAATCACTAAGGGCTATGAAGCCCTGCAAAATAAGACAAAAGATCTCTACACTAAAAGAAAGATAACTGAATTCGAAGCCCTACAGAGCATTGTTCAAGAACAATTTACGCAGATTGAGAGAATTATCGACATAGATAAAAAGAACGGCGTGAAGGGCTTCTTAAGTAAGTTGAACAGTAAGTTTACAGCTAATGTTAAGCGCATTGAAAGCATTATTGCGGCGTCCGCTTCGAAGCAATCCTCTCGTTACGGAAATGCATGGCTTAGCCAGGTGGCAGAAATTCTACAGCACTGCTTTAGAGAATTCTTAGAAATATTAAAAATGCAGGACGAAATCTTTTATTTTGATTACGATATTTCAGACATTTGGGATCCTTTGGATGGCCTGTTTAAACAGCTTAAAGAGTCTCAACACTTTAACCACCGTTCTAACTCCCGTCTTACTCACTTCGAAATTGCGCTTTCCAATTTACCCGCCGAAAGGTTCCCAGACCCACCCAAAGCAGTCTTATCGCCACTCAAGTCCGGGATGGCCAACTTCACCAAGGAACTCTCCCAAGCGTACGTGAACGCGTATAGCGGTAAGCATTTTGAGGGTTCATTGTTGAAAGACAAAGATCCTGAGCCCCAACTCGTGACCGCTGGAAATCCTGTAACTCCCAAACCTTCTACTCCGCACACCGATAAAGTCTTGACCACCGAGGGCCTCAACTGCGCCAAGGTCTGCCTGACGATTATGGAGGGGCTGAGAAAAGATGTGTTTGATTTGAGAAGAGAATGTGAAAAAAATTGGAAAGAGAAGCAAATATGTATGACTGAATTAGATAGTAAGAAAAATGAAGTTGGCAATTCACTTGGTCAATGGTTGACCAACCGCGGGTATAAGGTGGCTACCGACAAAGACAAGCAGGATGGTGAGCTGCGAAGATCCGATAAAATGAAAGGGACGAATATTTATGATGAACTACTTAACAAGGATTATGTAAACGTCTCCCAAATCCCAATCTTGAAAGAGTGGAAGGAAACAAATAGGACGGACAAAAAGGATGACAACATTAACCTCTTCGACATTACCGATTTCCTTCGCGAATTTTTTCGAAAGTACTACCAAGTATGCCAACATAAGCATATTCTATCTCCCAAAGCACCCTCCAATATATATCAAATGCTTTGCTGGCTCTCTGGGCTCCGGTGGAATCCGATGTACGACAAACTCGGTGAGTACTTCAAGGAACTTTACTACAAGCCTAAGGGACAGGAAGCAAAGCCGTATAAAGACTTTAAAGATACAGATCTTAGCATACCTGCCACCTCGCCATTGAACGCTCTTGAAACCGAAACACTTACGCCTAAGATACTAAAAGATGGGCTCGAACAGGTTTGTTTACTCTCGCAACTTGTAGCAATCGCCTTCCTCGGCAATGGTCACGCGGGTGGCCGTTATGCCTGCGACTTCCGCACAAACCCAGATGAATTATTATATCCCTCTAACTCATCTTCATGCTTTGACATCTTAGTAGATATATTGAAGAGAGTGTTCTATCAATTGCGCTTCTTATGTAGCCAGTGTTCCAACAGCCGTAGTAGGGGCGGCTGGGCTGAATGCCATTACGGCAGGTACATCGGCGGGTCATCGTGGGACTGTAATGAGAAGCAGTGTGCCAACCAAGAGTGTCCTCATACTGCCAACCTAACAGCTACTCAAAACAAAAACCAAACCTGTGACCAGCACCCTCAGTGTGGTGTAAAATCGCCATTACAGTCGTTCCTGGAGGACGGTCTGCCAGGGTTTCTGCCACATTCATTTAAGACTCCGGGTTGCAAACTTACATGTACTATACCTAACCACTTCGGAAAGCCGTGTCTCACTCCCATGGGATTTACCGATATCTGTGTTGCTGCTTCGCATACCAAAACAGGCGCACATCTCAGGGCCGAAGTTTCCCACCTTTGCGGTGATGCAGGCAAACCACTCACTAAGTTGTGTTCTTACCTCAATTGCCTGCTTCGCGTAGCACCGCAGACTCTTGGCGATATGTTAGCGTTCTACTATCAGTTACTTAAACAGTGGACCAAGAGTCAACATAAAAAGACAGCATTTGATAAAGCTGTAAGAGATGCTAATTTCGGACAAGAAAGCACTAAATTAGATCCGACTGCTATCCAACTCAGCAGTGCGCACTCCGACAAACATTCCCGCGGTGACCTCTTCAGCCTTACAGAGTGTAATCATAAGACAAATCCGGGCCTACCATGCGGTAAATACTTGCATCCGCTTACATTGAATAGCCGATCCGTTCTTTCTGAAAAGCGCGCTGGAAATTATCTCTCCTGGGTGGTGTACAGCACTGAGACATTCCTTGGGTTGCTCTGCGATTTGTATGAGTCTTGCAAAAAATGCGAGCAGCCAGGCACCAGATGCTGTGATAAGAGCTGTGATGGGAAATGTCCTGTGAGAGCCGCTTATGCAGCTCAAAAGTCTGAAGCTGCAGCGCCAGAACACAAGAAGTTAGAGGGCAAGAATCACTTAACAGATTGCCATTCCATCGTCAAATGCCCTGACACACATCCAACGCTGTACAAATATGGTTTTACCTTCACCAGCCCATCCGGACTAAGCGGAGAAGATAAGGCGCATCACAAAAGAACGTGCAAAGATTTCTGTGAAGCATTGAAGAAGGTGCTTGACAAGGAATCTGTTCTCGTAAAACTCATCGGAGAGATTGATGAGTTTATATGGTCAATTCGCACACCCTTCTCATACCTGTTAC